TACGACATCAAAGATAACAGATAGGGAGAAATATGCTGAAGAAGCGGCCCCTGGGTTCTGTCTAATGGTGTCATCAATGGAATTCAGTTCGGATGATCTATGTTTTCCAAACGATGAAGATTCAGATCCAAGCGTAGCGTCGCAAATGAAGCAGGTGAAACTGGGAGACTATTCTGAGTCTACAAGTGAATCTCCAGATGCGACAATGGCCGACTCTGAACAGAATGCTTCATTGAATAGGTCTGAATCAGATGAGGTGGCCTAGGTGTAGTTGAGAAATGTCAAGCCATTGCTGCCTCCACTGAAGAAAGGGGCTCCTAATAAAGATAAGGGAAAGAAAATAGTCATCAACGATGATATTATCCTTGAAGATCCTAAGAAAAAGAACACTTCAGCCAAGAGGATAGATTACAATATCTTATCCCATTTGAGGAAGATCCCAGCACAACTCAGCATATACGACGCCCTTGTGATGTCTAAAGACCTTCGGGAGACTTTGATCAAAGCTCTCAAGGACACTGAAAAATATGAAGCGTATTTTGCTGAACGTAATTTGATTGAGGTCTTGCAAGCTCGAAATGAGTCAATCATTACCTTTGTTGAGGATGATTTGATGCTTGGAACAGCAGATCACAATCGCCCTTTGTATGTTACGGCAGAGAGCGATGGTTTGAGGATCGGTCGAATTTTGATCAACCCTGAATCTTTCGTAAATCTCATGAGCCTTAAGGCATTGAGATCACTGTGCCTCGATGTGGAACATCTTGGGCAAGACAAGTTGATGGTGCATGGCTTCAACGAGAAAGGGCAGAAAACCCTTGGATCATTTATGCTCCCTCTTGTATTTGGAAAACTTCATACATAAGTCAAATTTCATTTGATTGATGCGAACACCTCGTTCAAGGCGTTACTAGGTCGTCCCTGGTTGCACGAATATGGTGTTGTCTCGTCAACATTACACCAGTGTATGAAATATCTCATAGATGGAGAACAATTCAGGATCTCTGGTGACATTCAGCCCTTCACAGTTCATGAAGCAACAGCTTATAAAGATGCACAGTACTTCATGCCAAAGAAGCAATAATCTTCGAGTTTTCTCGGGGCTAAAGCATCAAACTCAAATGTTGAAAAGTGACCTGAACGGAAAGGTGAGAAAAAGCAAGTGGGAAAAAAGAAAGCAACCCTGACTCTTCCCAAGGCACTGACCATTTCCAAAGAAAAGAAATATGTACCTCACCTAGGGAGTGATACAGATGAAGATGACATCACCCCTACAAAACCTCGAAGAGCATGCTAGTCCATAGAAGAATGGAATAGGGAGGTTGAATTTTCAAATGATGATTATGATTATGACTCTATCTATATGAATAGGGTGCAGGAGGTATTCTCCAAAAAAATAAGCAGTTTGTTAACAAAAATATTCGAAGAATGCTACGAAAGCAAATCAATATTCCTAACACAAAACGACAACTTCGTACAAGCTTGGGCCTCTAGTATGAAAGGAATCCACATCCATTATGATGGAAGGATATAGATTCATATAAGGGTATCAGATTCATCAAATGAAAATTCCTCCGGAAAGAGACTTGTTGGACAATCACATGCATGAAAATTGAATTCGATGATGGTGGCGCTGATGAGATTTATGAAGCTAATGCTTATGATGATCAACCCATAGAAGCCAAGCCTGCACCAGAAGAACTGGAAGATGGTGGACAAGCTGCTACGATGGATGAGCTAAAAGAAGTCAACTTGGGAACTAAGGAAGACCCTCGCCCAACCTTCATTAGCTCTCTTCTGCCAGAAGATCAACTAGAAGAAGTGAAGTGGCTCCTCTGTGAATTCAGGGACTACTTTGCCTGGACATATGCTGAGATGCCTGGCTTATCCCCTGACATAGCAATTCACAAATTAGTCATCAAGCCTGATGCAGCACCTGTAAAGCAAGCTCCAGGGAGAATGAGATTGGAGATTGAAGAGCAGGTGATTGCAGAAACAAAGAAGCTCATAGAAGCAGGCTTTATCCGAGAAGAAAATGTTAGACCGGCCCAGGATGGGCCGGTTGGACCGGTCCAGCAGGGACCGGTCCGCGTCTACGCGAGACGCACGCGAGAGAGCCGCATGGTCGGAAACGGATCTGCCGTGAGCCGTGGAGTTTAGGAGGGAAAATTTGAACGTAAAAGGCTGTTTTAGGAAGTTTATGATTGTCCTTTATGATTAATTTTGTATAATTACGAGTTTGGGGGGGAATTAGCTCCTCATCTTGAATTTGAGTTTTCTCTTTGATATCTAGGTTTTGTTTTGTGCTCTTGGCTTCGCCGGAGACTTTGGAAAGTACGTTCTTCCTCTCGAATCGAAGAACAAATTGTATCTTTGCTATTTTCATCATCTACTAGTAAAATACCGGTGTTTTCTCCTCGTCTCCAGCAGTTTTCCTCGTTTTTTCTACTGTTTTG